GGTGGCCCCAGGCTGTCTTCTCCAGGGGTCCCACAAGATCCATGGCTATTCGCTCGAAGGGGACCTCTTTAATGGGAAGGGGTACTAAAGGTGCCCTCAAGTAGGGACGAGGACTGTGCAGCTGACACTCCGGGCAGGACACACAGTACCTCCGCACTTCTTCATGTGCTCCGGGCCAGAAGAATCGTCGCAGGACCGTGTCAGGGTCTTCTCTACCCCCAAATGCCCCCCCAAAAGATGAGGATGGGCCAGACTTAATATGGCATTCTGGTGTTTGAGGTACTAGGATCTGCTGTACCTTCTGCCCCTGTACTGGTGCAACCCGGTATAAGAGATTCTTTTTCATTATGAAGTAGGGTCCTGGTCCCTGGGTTTTCCCTTCCACGGGGACCCCATCTATTTCGGTCACCTCCTTCCTAATGTCGTACCTTGGGGCTTCAGCCTGGTCCCGTCCAAAATTTCCTCTCCTGGGGCTAATCTGCCAGAGAGCTAGGGGGCCAGTCTCTGTTGCATCTACTGGTTTAGAGGCGTTAGGGTGTGGGTCAGACTCGGGTGCTTCTCCCTCCTGGGTGGCCTCCTTTTCAGCTTCTCGGGTCCGCCTACATACGAGACCGACCCTCTGGCTTTGGGCCAGTATTCAGGTTCCCAAGGCCTTAGCTGCCCTGCTTTCCCTTTTCATCTTTCTATGCTGTCTGGGAGTGGAGAACAAATCTGGGGTATTTCAGAGAAGGTTGGGGGTTGACAGTCTACTGTGGATGCCTCACTACTTTCAGGGCTTCCCCTTTTCTCCAATTCCCCTACCGGGAGTAAGTCTCCAAACCCTGGGAAGTCTCTCCCTGTGAGCACCAGGTATGGGAATTTAGGGACTATACCTGCTGCTACCTCAGTAGTGTTCCCCTGAATCTCTATTTTTACTGGAATGGTGGGGTAATAACCAACTGTCCCATGGACGCATGTTATCCCCGTAAGCTTAGCCCACAACGGCTGACTACGCTTCACGAGCTTCCCCAAGACAAGCGTGATAGCACTCCCCGAATCAACCAGTGCTGTGGTCTCTACCCCATTTAGCTTCACTGGTCTAGTGTACATATGTGGGGTTAGTGAGACTCCCACAAGGTGGATTAGGAAGCATGGGTCTGCCCAGTTCCCCAGGTTACACTGCATAGGCTCCTCGGTACTGGGACACTGTGCAGCTGTGTTCCCCCACTCCCCACAGGCGTAACGTCTGTATGGAGTCCTAGGCGTTCCCCCGGTCTCTTGGTTTGGGTAGTCTAACATCACAGTCCTCTTCCCCCTTAGTGCTCCGACTCTTTGTGGCTTCTGGTGGGCCTTCAGCCCCTCTCTTTTTCCACCTGGGCTCTCCTGGTGGCCCAGTCACCTGAGCTCTAGGGCTAGGTGCTGCTAGTTTAACCCGGGGTGCTGCTTAATTGGTCGGGTCAGCTCCCACGCCGTCCTTCGCCTTTCTACCAGCACGACAACCTCGTCGTAGGTGGAGGGTTCGTTCTGGCTTACCCAGGTGCGAAGGTCTGGCGGTAGTCCTCTCATGTACCGGTTGATGACCAGAACCTCTAGTATCTTCTCCAGACTCCGGGACTCAGTTCGTAACCACTTTCATGCGAGATGGATGAGATCATATAATTGGGACCGCGAGGTTTTGTTTTCCTGGTACCTCATATAATTGGGCCCACACTGCGGTCGTTACCCCAGATCTGGCCAAGATCTCTGCTTTCAGCTGGGGGTAGTCTGCCGCAGCCTCTTCAGGCAAATCATAGTAGGCCTTCTGGGCCTCCCCACACAGGAATGGAGCGAGGATGCCAGACCACTGTTCTCAGGGCCAAGCCTCCTGCAGGGCTGTCCTCTCAAAGGCCAGGAGGTATGCCTCTACATCATCCTCCCGTGTCATTTTCTGCAGCCAGTTACTGGCCCGCATGATCTGCGTCCCATCATGGCCGCGGTTCAGCTCTGTAAGGGCCTTTACCTGGTTTACCAGTTCCCGCAACATAGCCCGGTCTTGAGCGGCCTGGTCCATCAGCAGGCAATTAGTCTCTTGCTGCAGCCGCACTGCCTCCTGTTGGGCGGCTGCCTGGACACGGGTAGCCTCCTGCTGGGCAGCCGTGGCTTGTATCAGTGCCCGCACTACCTCCTCCATTGTGGTGAGAAAAAATAAAAATAGACCCTCTTCCTTTTTTTTTTTTCCCCTTCCAAACATCCTCCTCCTTCTGCCATGCTGTGGACACCAGATCCCACTTCCAACACCAGTTGTGACAAAGTTCCTGCTCTACCTTGGTGGGTCTTGTGCTTATTGGCCGATTTGCTCGCCTTGGAGCTTCACAGCAGTCCTCAGCTTTGCTGTTTTTCTGAATTCACAGTCCAGGTCGACTTCTCCTGTGTCTGACCAGGAGTTGGGAGGAACTGGGGGGAACCCGGGCCCGCCCTCTACTCCGGGTTCCAGCCCAGGGCCCTGTGGAATGCAGCTGTCTACAGTGCCTCCTGGAACAGCTGTGTGACAGCTACAACTTCCTGGGCTACTTCCCCATGGCCTCCTCCCAACACCTTCTTTATCCTCGCCAAAGGACCTTCCTCCTGGTGTCTGATAATGCTTGTACACCTCAGTCCTCCAACAGTCCGCGTTCCCACTCTCAGCTCCTAGTGCCTCTTGCTCCCTGCTCCTCACACGCATACCACAAACTGAAGTGAGCTCCTTCTTAAAACCCAGGTGCCCTGATTAGCCTGCCTTAATTGATTCTAGCAGCTTCTTGATTGGCTGCAGGTGTTCTAATCAGCCTGTCTTAATTGTCTCCAGAAGGTTCCTGATTGTTCTGGAACCTTCCCTGTTACCTTACCCAGGGAAAAGGGACCTACTTAGCCTGTGGCTAACATATCTGCCTTCTATTACTCTCCTATAGCCATCTGGCCTGACCCTGTTACAAGGGCTTTTCATACACTTCTAAGTGACATTCTGATAAGTAGGGAAATAATGTCTAGATGAAATTACTATATGGTGGGTATAAAACTGTTGAAAGATTGTACTTCGTAGTTATCAACGGTTCACTGTCAAAATGGGGGGATCTTTTTAGTGGGGTTTCACAGGAGTCTGTTCTGAGTTCAGTACTATTCAATATTTTTGTTAATGGTTTAGATAATGGAGTGGAGAGTGTGTTTATAAAATTTACAAATGACACCAAGCTGGGAGGGATAGCTTGCGGTTGGAAGGACGTGATTAGAATTCAAAATGACATTGACAATGAATACCATAAGATGAAATTCGATGAAGTACAGATTACTGCAATTGGGAAGAAAAAATCAGATGCTCCAATACAACATGGGGAACAAGGATCTGGGGGCTGTAGTGGATGACAGATTGAATATGAGCCAACAATGTGATGCAATTGCAAAAAAGGCTTGTGTCATTCTGCAGTGTATTATCAGCAGTATCATAGGTAAGACAGGAGGCAGTTGTTCTCCTCTACTCAACTCTGGTGATGTCTCAGCTAGAGTATTGTGTCCAGTTCTGGATGCCACACTTAGGAAAGACGTGGACAAATTGCTGTCCTCTGGACTCTCCAACAAAAATGATAAAAGGCTTAAAAAACTTGACCTATGAGGAAAGGTTAAAAATAACTGGGCATGTTTAGTCTTGCAAAAAGAAGACTGAGGGAGGACCTGTTAAGTCTTCAGGTACGTTAAGAGCTGTTATAAAGAGGACAATGATCAATCCTCTGTCCACTGAAGAATGGACAAGAAATAGTCAACTTAATCTGCAGCAAGGGAGATTTAGGTTAGATACAATGGAAAACTTTGTAACTATAAGGATAGTTAAGCACTGGAATAGGCTTCCAAGTGAGGTTCTGGAATCCCTGTTGTTGGAGGCTTCTAAAAATAAGGTGGATAAGTACCTGTCAGGGATGGGTTTAGGTATACTTAATCCTGCCTCAGCTAAGGGGGTTGGACTAGATGGGCTCTCAAGGTCCCATCCAGCCCTAGGTTTTTGTAATTGTTACATTTGTGTTCAGTTTAGAGAGTATCAGGTAGGAGGAGTGTTAATGAAAAGAGAATCTGTGCCATATGTAGGGCGCACACACCGGTCCATGTGTGTGGGGGGAAGGGGGGATTCTGTCACTAATACAAAGCACAGGCTGCCCTCTAGCTAGTAAAACATGCTTTGTTCTATAAATGGAATCGCAATGCGATAATAAAATACTTAGCTTTGATTTCTTGTTTTGCATGAGAAGTGCTGTGCAAGGGAGGCCAGTAGTATTATCCCCATTCTGCAGGTGGGGAGGAGGATGCACAGAGGCTAAGACCCAGACTTTCAGAAGTAGCCAGTGGTCTTGGTGCCATCTGAGAAACCCTAGTTCCCATTGGCTTTGGAGTTGTGGGTTCTCTGCACCTCTTAAAAACCAGACCCAAGGGGTATCAACTTAGGTAAAAGCCAAAAATCCGTGACTAATTTTGAAAATGGACTCCTTAGAGATTTTTGCAGGTCAGAAAGTGAGTCAGTGGGAGAGCTAAGAATAGAACCCTTTTTCTTGATTCCCAGTCCTGTGCCCTGGCCACTGGACCATGTTGCCAAATGGGATGGATTTAAATGACAAGAAATGAAGTTCACAAATTCTGGTTTTGCCAGGTCAGAAGTTTGTTTGAAGTTCCCAAACCTCCATGTTCGCAATGTTTGCCCAGCTCTACTTTAAATATGATATAATAGCATATGAAATGCAAACTTTCGGGGGGAGGACTGCTTGAGAAGTCAGCATAACTTGGTCAGGGGGGCTTTGGGTTGGGTGGGGAAATGGCTGGATGAAGGATCTCCATTCTCCACACCAAAAGGGAATGCGGAGACCTTTAGTCTCCGGACAAGATAGTTATTAAGGCTGATGGTGGCCTCTGGCACATTGCATAACCTGTGGACTGTTTTGCCATTCCTGCTACATGTAGCCTTTGTATAGTTGTGCCTGAGCTGGCTGATGGGATCGCTAATGAATAAATTCTGTTCATCACAGGATGTATAAATACACTTCAAACCGCTTCAAGACCCGTGCGGAGCAGGAAGTGAAGAAAGCAGAGCACATGGCTCGGATAGGTGAGTCCCGGGTGTGTGCATGGGTCCTGGATTAGTGCAGGAATGGTGAAGCCAGGATTGCCCCCCTGACTTGCCCTATAATGGCAACTGCTGTGGTGAACACCATGATTGCTTGGGTGCCCTGCCTGTATGTTTATGATAGTCATATGGATAAGCCTAGCCTTTTCCCTCTGTTGCACAGAACTAGCTTTCCAGTTGATTCCTTCTGTGAACATTCTATATAGAGCTCAGAGATCCAGAAAATAACACTTTCCTTAAGCACAGAAACATTCTCCTCTTTCTGACACTAATTGTCTAACCTGTGCATGTATTAGAATCATAGAATATCAGGGTTGGAAGGGACCTCAGGAGGTCATCTAGTCCAACCCCCTGCTCAAAGCAGGACCAGTCACCAACTAAATCATCCCAGCCAGGGCTTTGTCAAGCCTGACTTCAAAAACTTCTAGGAAAGGAGATTCCACCACCTCCCTAGGTAACGCATTCCAGTGTTTCACCACCCTCCTAGTGAAAAAGTTTTTCCTAATATCCAACCTAAATCTCCCCCACTGCAACTTGAGACCATTACTCCTTGTTCTGTCATGTGCTACCACTAGAGCAGTCTAGATCCATCCTCTTTGGAACCCCCTTTCAGGTAGTTGAAAGCAGCTATCAAATCCCACCTCATTCTTCTTTTCCGAAGACTAAACATCCCCAGTTCCCTCAGCCTCTCCTCATAAGTCATGTGTTCCAGTCCCCTAATCATTTTTGTTGCCCTCCGCTGGACTCTCTCCAATTTTTCCACATCCTTCTTGTAGTGTGGGGCCCAAAACGACACAGTACTCCAGATGAGGCCTCACCAATGTCAAATAGAGGGGAACGATCACATCCCTCAATCTGCTGGCAATGCCCCTACTTATACATCCTAAAATGCCATTGGCCGCCTTGGCAACAAGGGCACACTGTTGACTCATATCCAGCTTCTCGTCCACTGCAACCCCTAGGTCCTTTTCTGTAGAACTGCTGCTGAGCCATTTGGTCCCTAGTCTGTAGCAGTGCATTGGATTCTTCCGTCCTAAGTACAGGACTCTGCACTTGTCCTTGTTGAACCTCATCAGATTTCTTTTGATCCAATCCTCCAATTTGTGTAAGTCCCTCTGTATCCTATCCCTATCCTCCAGCGTATCTACCACTCCTCCCAGTTTAGTGTCATCTGCAAACTTGCTGAGAGTGCAATCCACACCATCCTCCAGATCATTTATGAAGATATTGAACAAAACCGGCCCCAGGACCGACCCCTGGGGCACTCCACTTGATACCGACTGCCAACTAGACATGGAGCCATTGATCACTACCCATTGAGCCCGACAATCTAGCCAACTTTCTATCCACCTGGTTAGTCCGTTCATCCAGCCCATACTTCTTTAACTTGCTGGCAAGAATACTGTGGGAGACCGTGTCAAAAGCCATCAGGCTTTGGATGTGCTATCGTCAACACAAAGTAACCACATTGGCTGTACATATTCCAGGGATCAGCAGTGACCTAGCAGACTTGCAGTAACCTACCATCCAGTGGCTGCCGCAGAAGTCGGGCCTAGAGCCAGTATTCCATCAGTGGGGACTCCAGTAATAGATCTGTTTGCCACAGAGGACAACACCAAATGCTCATACTTCTGCTCCAGAGCGGGTGTGAGCCCTGGGTCTTTGCTAGATACCTTTTTCCTTGGGTGGGCTCAAGGACTCATTTCCTTCTCTAATGCATCCCTTTATCCCCAGGATAATATCTCAGATCAGGCTGGATAAGGCTATGAACTTCTGTTACCCCATAACCTCTTACTGGCTGAGACAGTTTTGGCTGGCTGACAGACTGTTGCAGATGTCCAGGCGGCTTCACATACACCTCCCATTCTGCCCAGACATAATATTTCTATAAGCAAGGTCAGATCTGCAGTCATTGCACCTGATGCCTTGAATGTTGACTGGTTGAGCACTAGTGACAGACTGCTCTCTGCAGGTTCAGTAAATTCTCAGACTAAGCATAAAACCTTTTGCTAGAGAGACCTACTCTTCAAAATGAGTGGATGGGGAGGAAATATCCACATAGGCAGCCCAACACAATCTGGACCCAGTTGAGGTTCTGATATTGAAAATGCTCGACTACAAACTGCACATGAAATATGGTGGGCTAGCATTGAACTCTCTCATGGTTTACCTTGCAGTAATAATGGTGTGTCACACTCCAGTGGAGTCATACTATTTTCCCATGCGACAGTAACAAAATACCTTAAGGGCCTCCGTCATATCTCCCTTCAGTTAGAGAGCCAACTCCCATGTGGGAATTCAATGTTGTCTTCCTAAAATTCACAGAGCCTCCACCGCTGTCAGATCGCTCAGTACACGAGTGACCATCAAGAAAGTCTTTCTGATTGAGTCAGTGAGCTCCAAGCCCTCAAGGCTGAACTGTCTTACACATCCTTCCATAGGAACATGGTGGTGTTGAGACCATGTTCTAAGTTTCATCCTAAGATGGTTTCAAATTTCAGCCTGAACCAATTACTTTGCAAGTCTTCCTGAAACCACACTTGATGCTGGGAGAAAGAGTATGGCCAGAGTTTGCTCTTTTACCATAACAGGACCAAACTTTTCAGGCTATCTTCCTGCCTCTTTGTGGCCATATCTAGCCTATCAAAAGGACAACCCATCTGTGGAGCATTTTTGTGTGCCATCATGTTCAGACAGCTGGCGAGCCTCTGTCTGAACACCGGGGGACACTCCACCAGAGCACAGGCAGCGTTTTCTGCCTGCTTTGGGAATGTGCCAGTCTCTGAGAACTGCAACGCTGCAACATGGAGCAATTCACTGACTTTTCTTGTTTTTTACCTTGACATGGCAACCAGGTCAGATGCCAAGGTCAGAAGAGCAATACTGGAATAACTGTTTGACTGATAGAGCTGAAATTCCTTACTCTCGCCATCCAGGGAGGATGCTCTTTTCCAGTCGCTTGCGGTGGGATCCACACTGATGCACATTTGAAGAAGGAATGGTTTCTTACCCTACATTAATTGCAGCTCTTCGAGATGATGTCAGTGTGGATCCCATGACCTGCCCTCCATCCACAGTTTCTGGAGTTCTCAGAAACACGGGCTTTGAATTGCAAGGGAACTGAGGGCAGGTCGGCCACCCTGTCCTTCATGCCTTTGTGTGGGAGTATGTGCAGCTCCTACAGACACTGCTGTTCAAAAGACCCTCCAGCCTCACATGCGTGAGGCACATACACACCTACAGTGGGATCTACATTGATTACCATAGGTACTGTAATAAACAGTTCTCTTTTGAATGCTTGTCCATTTGCATGTTTCACTGTAGGTGCTTGCAAAACTGGTGTGGAAAGCACCAGCATTTGTGACTTCCTCCTCATGAAAGGTAGATAGTGTCAAGTCCGATCTCTAGAGGGGTCAAATTCTTTTATATCTACCCAATGCCCTCTTCCCTGCTGATGAGAATGGACAATGAGAAACCATGCCAGATTAGAGCAACACCAAAGACTGTGACCAAAGAAATTAGATTTACTTGGGAGAAAAGCTTACTACTTGGTGAGGTTGCAATTTAGGGTGTCATACTACCAGGCCCTTCTGGCCAGGTGTGACCTCAGGATCCCTGAGAAATGAATGTGCTTTAGAGACAAGGTCCTGCCATAAATGAAAGAGGAATTCATGCCTCTAGTGTCAGATGGTGATGAGAACCAGTCTTCTGGCGGCCCTAGATGCAGTGGACTCTGCTACAAGATCCATGGCTATAGCCGTAATCATGAGGAGATCATCGTAGTTGCAGGGCTTGGGCTTCCCTTGCAAGGCACAGACAATAGTAGAGGGTCTTCTATTTGGAGGATCAGAGCTCTTCAGTTCAAAGACCAGTAAAAGTCTTAATAGCTTGAAGGATTTGCAGGCTACCCAATTGTCCCTCAGGGTCTACACACTGACCCCAAAAAGCAAGCACATGAAACAGCCATATGTGCCTCCGAAGGTCACCCCTGCCTACATTTATTAGTCAACTCCCTGCTGAACACCCCCCCCCCACCCCCACCCCGGTCAATTATTCCAGTGACAGACTGGCCACATCACAGACCTCTCAACCTGCTGTGTTCCAGAAACTTAACTTTTGACGGGACCTTTGAGAGGTCTGAATTCACTCCCATAGCTCCAAAGACTCCATTCCCACACTTTGGAAATCATTTATCCCTATTCCTGGTGGTTAATCACCACAGACCTATGGGTTTTGGATACTGTGACGTCAAGGTATCTTGTCCACTTCCAAACAACGCCTACCCCCAAATCACCTTCTCTGTCCCTTTTCAGGGACCTTTCTCCCAGGGCTCTTTTACAAGAGGTTCTCTTGCTACTTTCTTTTGGAGGGATCAAGATGGTACGTCCTTGTTATCAAAGGAATGGAGGTCTACCGAAGAGATGTCCTTCTTCCAAAAAAAAAAAAAAAAAAAAAGGGAGGTGTGAAATATATTCTGGATTTAAGAGACCTTGATGTGTTCACACTCAAGTTTGAAGTTCAGGATGGTCACCATAGCATAGATAATTCCTGCGCTGGAGTCAGGAGCCTGATTTCCATCTGTCTATCTACAAGATGCATACCATCACCTATTAATCATTCCACAGCATGGGAAGTACATGATGTTCACGGTTGGCCACAAGCACTGTGTGCTATCCTTCGGACTCTGTCTCTCGAGTATTCACCAAAGCACTAGCAACAGTAGAGGCATACTTAAGAAAAAAAGGTATCGTGGTATAACCCTACCCAGGCAATTGGTTGATTTGAGAACAATCTTATCAGACCTCGGAATCATCTGCTTCACATTCAGTCTGTTCCACACACTAGGCCTGAAAGTCAACATACAGGAATCAAACTTGAGTCCAATCCAGAGAATCATATTCGTCGGCGTGATCCTTGACTCCACCAAATCCATGGCCTGCCTTCCCCAAACACATCTGAGAATCTGTCAACCTTGGAATCTGTTGATTTGGAATCAGACTTACCACTGTAAGGATATGTCTTGCCCATCTGTGTCACATGGCCTCCTGTTCCTTTGTGACGCTGCATACCAGACTTCACTTTCACTGTATGCAGGGTTGGTTCAGGCTGGTCTGTATGCCCGCCAGACACCTCAACATGTGTTTGTGTACTCCCTCTAGTACTGTCATCTCAGAGAAAGTGAAAGGATCTAGCAAATGCCTGCCCCCTTCTAGCTGCTTTTCCATCCCATATTATGCTGACAGAAGCATCACTTGTGGTATGGGGAACACACATGAAAGACTTTTGGGTACAAGGCTGCACTACAAGAGAAGCAAGGATACACATCAGCCTCCTGGAACGCCGAGCCATGCACAAGGCTTTTGAGTCCTTTCTCCATCATATCAAAGGGCAGATGGTCCAAATAATGACAGACAACATGACCACTATGTTCTACACTGAACAGGTCAGTGTGAGGTCTTCCCTGTTCTGCCAAGAAGCTGTCAGACTTTGGAACTGGTGTATCAGGCATCAGTTTTCCTGTAAGTGTACAGCTGACCAGATCTGCAGAACACCTTGGCAGACAACCTGAGCAGACACTTCTCTCCCAATCACAATGGGAGCTGAAGAATTCCATTGTTCAGAACGTCTTCTCACGTTGGGATCACCTCCTAAGAGACCTATTCACAACACAAGATGGCAAAAAGTGTTTGATGTTCTGCTCCAGGGGAAAATAAAACCAGATTCCCTAGCAGATACATTCCTAATCCAGTGGCTGGGAGCCTTGATACATGCCTATCCTCTGGCCCCTGCTCCAAAGGTCAGATAGGACTCAACCAGGTTGCACTTGACAGCCCCGACATGGCCAAGATGATTCTGGTTCCTAGGCTTCCGGAGGCTATCAGCTGTTCAGCCCAAGACTTTACCTCTGCTTCTGGGTTCTGGTGTTGCAAACTATGGGAGAGAGCCTGCATCCAGAACTGAGATCCTTCCATCTCGCAACTTGGGGGCCTCAATGGATGTTGGCTATAGAGTAAGCCTGCTCTTCTCCAGTCAGAAATGTTCTCATGAATAGCAGAAAAGACTGAGACAAACTTACCTGGCGAAAAGGATGATAGATTTTCACTGGCATCAGTGAGAAAACATCATTTCTCATCACTCTTCTGTGCCTGTGTTACAGGGTGACTGTTCATTTTGAGAGGAAACAAGTCCAGTGCACCTCTGATTCATCTGCTCACTCCAGTTGGGGTGTAAAAGAGGTAACTGGGCCCCAGAGGGGGAAGAGACCTTAGCACGCCAGTGGAGTCAATCAGGAAAAGCCCAGGTGAGCGCTGTATGGGAGTGAGAGTTTTGGCAGGTGATTGCTGCCTGAGACCAGGAGATTGCAGAAGGTCCCTGAAAGAAGCAGAGGGTATCTGAAAGCAGGAAAGTAGCAAAGAGTGGTTTGACGACTGATCCTGAAGCCAGAGAGTGAGGGCTGAAGTCAGGAGAGTAGCAGAGGGAGTTGCTTGCTGCTGGCTTTTAAACTGGAGAGTGAGAGCCAAGGGCAAAAGAGGGCTGAAGGCAGGAGAGCAGTGGAGGGGCTGGAGCCAGAGGACCAGAGAATACTGAAGCTCTCCTAGCCGAGGGGGTAGTTTCTGCTGGGAAGAATGGTGTGACACTCCAACTGGAAGGGCTGGGGTGGCTATCCTGGTAAAGGAGAAGAGCAATAAAAGAGCTGGTGTATAGTGGAAGATGCTGGAGAATGGCAAGGAAGCACTCCCAGTAGGAGCTTCTTCCTGAAAGAGTGGGGTTTTAAGGACTGTATGCTCTGTGTGAGAGAAATTGATTGTTTGGGATTTTTGTTATGGGTCATTTGAACTGTTTTTGTAATAAACTATCCCCTAAGGAGGGTATTACCAAGTCAAGAAAGCTTGAGTGGAGTCACTGGGGACTCTGAAGGAGGGAAACTGAGGCAGACGTGCCTGTTCTGCCTCAACCTGCTGCTAGAGGGCACCTTAGGACGGGCAGTCTTATCACACTCAAATCCTGGATTATCTTCTGGAGCTGAAACAGAACAGCCTGTCCTTGAACTCAGTGAGGGTACATTTCTTAGCGGTTTCAACCAATCACTCTGACAGAAAACCAGCGTCTCTTCCTATCCGACTAAATAAGTTTTTAAAGTTTCTGATTAAGGTATTTCCACCGGAACCTGTTTCCCCATGGGATATTAATCCAGAACTTTCAGCTCTCATGGGTACATCCTTCAAACCAGTGGCAACCTGCTCTCTATTACGCTTGTCTATGAGGACGACATTTCTGATTGCCATTATTTTGGTGAGAAGGGTCGGTGTGAGATCTAGGCACTGATGGCTCAACCCCAACCTCACACGTTCTCCCTCTCCATTATCTGGACAAGGTATCTCTGAGAACACATCCCAGATTTCTACCTAAGGTGGCCATGAAATTCTGCTTAAACCAGCAAATCAACTACTGGTGTTCTTTCCTAATCCTCGCACAAAAAGGGTGGAGGTGACACTTGACACCTTGGAAATAAGAAAGGCTTTGACCTTCTACTTCCAGAGGACAAAACTATTCAGATCCTCACCTAGACTGTTCATCTGCATGGCAGAGAATGAATGTCTCAATTATATCAATGCAAAGATTGTCAAACTGGATCTCTGTGTCAATGCCTGCTACAAGGTGGCCAAAGTAAACTAGCTTACTACACTCAAGGCTCTCTCAACTAGGGCTCAAGAAGCATCACTAAGGAATGTGCTTACCTCTGACATCTGCATGGGCAACCTGGATGTTGGTTCACACATTCACAAAATGTTCTATCTGGCCTGAAGCCTTCCAGGTCCGATGTTGCCTTTGGTGAAGTGGTGCTGCAGTCCTTGTTTTATTGAAGACTCCAAGCTCCATTGCACAGGGTCCCTGCTTGGGAGTCCCCATTAGTGGCCTGTGTATAAGGACAAGAACCTGAGAATGACAAGTTACCTACCTTGTAGTAATTTGAGTTCTTCAAGATGTTTTGACTGTATGCATGTTCCACTGCCTGTCCTCCTTTCACTCTACCTCAGAGTCCTTACACCTTGGATTCTGAAGTTGAGAGGAAATTAAGTGGCAGTTGGCTTGCACTGCCCTCGTATGCCTTTGACCTGGAGCGTGAGGACTCTTGGCACATTTGCATTTTACAGACACTGCTGGCCAAAAAACTACAAACTGCAGCACACGAAGTGCACGTGTACCCATTAGTGGAATATGCATATGGACCGCACATCTTGAAGATCTCCTCTTATTGTACTTATTTTTCTAACTGAGGTATGCATAGAGACAGCTGTGGCTTTGATTGGAGTGTCAAGTAGATAGACCAATAGATGGTCTGAATTTTGATACCACGAGCTAGAGTCTGGAACTGTCCTGTCTCTCACAATTCAGTCTCTAAGGCTACAAAATGGGCTTTGAGTAGATGTGAGTGTCAGCTTCTTCATGGACAATGAAGGACCAAAACGCTCTGATTGCTATTTTAGATTAAACTTCATGCTTTTGGGTTCCTTGTGCTTTGTACATAACACAAATTTGAGCCTTTCCAGGCAAAATCCCCTTAATTCCTCTAAGATTCTCCCCTCTTCAGTCTTTCTAAGAAATTACTGTTACAGTAACATTTTCCCACCCCACCATGTCCCCCCTCCACACACACACAACTCAGGTCTCTTCGCTAACTTCTTGCCTCTTTCCACGTCAAGTTTAAACTCTTCGCTTTCACAACATTGCACAGTTCTGCCTCTCAGTCCTTCTCTTTCCCTGCTCTCTGCCATCCTTCACACTTTGATGTTCCCTTTGTCTCCTACTTGTGCTGTTGTGCCTCTTATTCTTTCTACTTCTTGCCCTCACTCCCAGTGCCCCAAACACCCTTGTCTGATTAGAGATCCCTCCTTCTGACTCACTGGTGGCTGGCTTTCCTCCACTCTCCTTGGTTCTAGCACTAGCTTCTCCTCATTTGCCCAGCCTTAGGCTCACATTTGGTAGTCTGACCTCTCACGTCCAAGATTTTATTTTGTACCTTCTTATGTCAGCTTGTCCTCTCTCCCTTGCCTGTATTAGTGAGATGTAGACTGTAAGCTCTCTGGGAAGTGCCATGCATGCTTGTGGTGCGTTCTTGAGTATTCAGTATTAATATTACTTCTTTGTATGTCTTCCAGCGGAGGAGAAGGCTCGAGAGGCAGAGAGTAAAGCCCGTGCACTAGAACTTCGCCTGGGCGGGGATCTCACACGAGACTCCAGGGTGAGATTTCTGCATTTCTCTGTCTGTTTGCTGAGGGTTCAGAGCCACCCCTCCCTAAGCTAAGTGGAGTTGGCAATACCAAGTACTAACCAGTGTTTCAGTGTGGACAGGTGGCCATTCCTGCTGGAGATGCTATTGTGCTGATTCTGTGTTCAGTCTTCCCAGGCATCCTTAATGTCTGTTTTCTTCAACTGATGTGCTTACATTTTGCAAGGTTTGACAGCGGCTTGTTTCTACTCAGTTGAGGGAGCCATGTGAGCATTGCTTCTGCCTGGGGTGAAGTACCCCAGGATGTATGTGCAGTGGGCAGGCGAGACTCTGGCAAAGTGTCAGTATAGGGTCCTGGTGAGCTTGATTGTAAAGGTCCTTTGTTCAATGCCATTGCTCTAAAGAAGAGAGCCTGGATAGTAGTAAATTTCCAGATGTTTTTGTGGCTACCACTCCTGTTGGGCTTACGGTTTGGTCCTAAATTTGCCCTCTTCGTAGCTAGAATTTTTTTTTCTTTTCTCACAAGCGGTATTCCTCCGAAGCCACACCTTGTGCAGCTTTCATGCCAGCTCTGAAAGCTAAGCTAAGCAAGGCTAGGCCAGTCAGTACTTGGATGGGAGACCTTCAGGGAAATACCAGGTGATAAGTAAGGTGGCACTCAGTATTAAAAATGCATCAACCTACTGCTAGATGTTGCTTTGATTTTTTCATGAGAAGTACTGTAAAACCACATTCCTTAACCCACAGCACTATTTGTATGAGTTGGCGTATTAGTCCCAGTGTCTTACCCAAATTCCATTTTGTCTTCCTAAATTCCCCTACTGTTTCAGTTGGATACAGGATTCTTTGTTTCCTCTTCTAATCTGTCGTGTAATGTTGCTGAGGGTGGTTAAACAATTGTTGTGCTTCACCCCAGAGGTAGCTGTTTTCATTGATTTACTGTGGCTAGTGAGAAGATTTCTGTGTCTAAGTCTGTAAAATGCTTTGGGATCCTTTGGAAGGAGAGGTGCTACAGAAATGTTTAATTTTGGTTTTACTGTGAGGTGCTTTGTGTCTGCAGGTGACTCTACGGCAAGTCCAGAACACAGCCATAACCATGCGTAGAGAGGCTGATGTCAAGCGGCGGATCAAGGAGGCAAAGCAGCGGTGAGTACAAGGCCGCTTGGGGCTTCAGTTGTCCCGAGCTGTTGCTCTGTAGCCCTCTCAGGCTTGAGCAGGTGTCTGTTATCTTGGCTCACCCCCAGGGACCACCCAGTTGACCTGGTTGGAGGAACATAGCCAGTTCTACTCTGAAGCCCATGTAGGTGAGGCTATTCAGAGCTTTTCACCTTTGACCTTGCAAGGTGACCTTGAGAGGAGTTTGCTGTTCTGATAGCTTGGGGCTCTCCAGGCCCCTCTTCCTTACTGAACTTGCTAAAATGTATTTGTTGTGGCTTGCGAGCCTGGTTTTCTAGAAACCCACACTGTTTTGTAATCCATATAGTAATCAATTGGGATGGGCGATTTTGATGTTGATACCAAGCAACTTAATTGTCCAGCAGTGAAAGGAATAGTGGACTATTTGTTTAGACAACACTGGCATCCTTTCAAATGAATGCAAAGTCAGGACCTGCGGAGTCCATGAAGCCATTCTGGATAAGCATGTAAGCTGGGCGTTTTCAGTATGATGATACCGCAGAGGTCATCCTAAGTGTTCATAATTAAGTTCACCTCCCGTTGAGGTGAATGGGGGGTTCCCTGCTCTCTTGGTGATACTTCTATTATGTCCTGAAGGCTTCCTTTACTACCAGAAGATGAGGTTAGGGCTGCACTAGCATGATCAGGGGGTTGCGGTGTAATGCAATAGCTACTCCAGCATGACTTGGCTTTGCCTGAGTGGATGGGACCAAATCATACTATGACCAGGCTACCCAGTGGTGGCACTAGGTCTGTAATAGGACTCAGGCACAGCTATGGCACTGCAGCTATGCCGTCGTAGCTCCATTGTGTAGAAGGTTCCTGCTTTGACCAAAGGCATTTTTCCATCAATGTAGTTTATCCATTTCTGTGGGCGGTTGACTGAAGAATTCTTTTGTTGAACTAATAGAATCTACAGTGGGAGTTAATCGACCTAACTACGGTGTACGGGACATGAAATTTTTCACAGCCATGAGCGATATAGCTATGTCAGTCTTAATTCACAGGTGTAGACATGGCCTCAATAACATGTCACAGCAGGATTGGGTGACTGTTGTCCTATAACCTGACTTATGGCTGACTTAGAACAACGCTTCCTCAGCTCTCATCCCCTAATGCCCCTACTCTACTTGCGCTACATTGATAACATCTTCATCATCTGGACCCATGGAAAAGAAGCCTTTGAGGAATTCCACCATGATTTCAACAATTTCCATCCCAACATCAACCTCAGCCTGGACCAGTCCATACAACAGATCCACCTCCTGGACACTACGGTGCTAATAAGCTACGGTCACATAAACACCACCCTATACCGGAAACCTACTGACCGCTATACTTACCTACTTGCCTCCAGCTTTCATCCAGACCACACCACACGATCCATCGTCTACAGCCAAGCTCTACGATACAACCGCATTTGCTCCAACCCCTCAGACAGAGACAAACACCTACAAGATCTCTATCAAGCATTCTTACAACTACAATACCCACCCGCTGAAGTGAAGAAACAAATTGACAGAGCCAGAAGGGTACCCAGAATTCACCTACTACAGGACAGGCCCAACAAAGATAATAACAGAACGCCACTAGCCGTCACCTTCAGCCCCCAACTAAAACCTCTCCAACGCATCATCAAGGATCTACAACCTATCCTGAAGGACGACTAATCACTCTCACAAATCTTGGGAGACAGGCCAGTCCTTGCCTACAGACAGCCCCCCAACCTGAAGCAAATTCTCACCAGCAACCACACAACAGAACCACTAACCCAGGAACCTATCTTTGCAACAAAGCCCATTGCCAACTGTGTCCACATATCTATTCAGAGGACACCATCATAGGGCCTAATCACATCAGCCACACTGTCAGAGGCTTGTTCACCTGCACATATGCCATCATGTGCGAGCAGTGCCCCTCTGCCATGTACATTGGTCAAACTGGACAGTCTCTACGTAAAGAATAAATGGACGCAAATCAGACGTCAAAAATTATAACGTTCATAAACCAGTCGGAGAACACTTAAATCTCTCTGGTCACTCGATCTCAGACCTAAAGGTCGCAATATTAAAACAAAAAGACTTCAAAAACAGACTCCAACGAGAGACTGCTGAATTGGAATTAATTTGCGAACTGGATACAATTAACTTGGGCTTGAATAGAGACTGGGAATGGATGTGTCATTACATAAAGTAAAACTATTTCCCCTTGTTTATTTCCCCCTCTGCTCCTTGGACATTCCTGTTAACTGCTGGAAATGGCCCACCTTGATTATCACTACAAAAGGTTTTCTCCCCCCCCCCCCCCGCTCTCCTGCTGGTAATAGCTCATCTTAAGTGATCACTCTCCTTACAGTGTGTGTAACACCCATTTTTTCATGTTCTGTGTGTTTATAAATCTCCTCACTGTATTTTCCACTGAATGCATCCGATGAAGTGAGCTGTAGCTCGCGAAAGCTTATGCTCAAATAAATTGGTTAGTCTCTAAGGTGCCACTAGTACTCCTTTTAGTCTTATAACCTGATTAATCTTGGTAGTTTCACTACTGTAGATGAGCCCAGAGAAGAAAACAGTAGTATGCCGGTGGGAGCTTTGTTGACCTTTTTGCCACTGCAAATTCATATGATGAGATCAAAAGCTGAGATTCCTTCAAGAAAATGGATTCCCCCTGCGACTCCACAAGGTGGTGTTAGACTTAACCGACTTGCTTAATGTGCATACCTTCTGTGCTCACACATCCTGATAAATTCCCTTCCACTTTGGGAAATGCAGGTATAGATCTTAATATACCTTTCTTACACGCTTTCATAAGCAGTGAAATACTTTTAAATATCGTTGTTAATGGTCATCATTGTCATTGAGTAAGCATCCATATAAAATGACCGGAATAGGCTGTGCTAGGATCTGTTGATTCAGGCTTTCTGCAAACTCAGGCAGATGTCTATGAATTGGTTATACTCACTTCACATTTTGAAGGTTTTTTTCATAACCATAATAGCTAGAGACTCAGCAATTTAGAATGAAAGCTGAGACTGAGAACAATTGAGAGGTCTGTCTGCCTGCCCCTCCTCCCACACAAATTCTCTTGTACGCCCCCAGGGTACTGCACTTTGGGAAGCACTGACCGAAAATCTTTGCTAGATTTGGACCTAGATAGACTCTCCCATAGACAGCAGGAGGAGAGAAAATAGTTTGAATTTAAAATTGATCTTAGAAGAGTTGACTTCAGGGATGCAGAAATCCATGTGGGAGACAGTTTTCCTCCTATTCCCATGTACATAACGTCTTTTCCTTATTAATTATTTCTTCATTCTGATGGAAGTGCTGCATAAAATAGAATCCTATGAATGGGGCCCAAGGGGATGTTCTACTCTCCCTTATTAATAGACATAAAACACCTAGTGAATTCCAGCAAACTCCTCCTCTTGGAAATGCATCATCCCACTATTAAACAGCAAATGTGAAACTATAAGAACTAAAATTCAAGAAATCTTTAGGAACAGCAACATTGCACTTACCCCCGAGTGTAGCTGGGAAACCTTTAAAGCTAACATACATGATTATACTTCCCTACATAAAAAAGTTTTAAAGAAATATTGAAATCAACTTCAGAAATCAAAAATAAATACCTTGGCTGTAAAATCTAAGCAGACATTAAAGCTCTCAACTGCAAAAACAAACTTAGCTCTAGTAGATAGCCTAACCCTGGCTAAACATGTCTGAAAAGTTTCAGAGGGTGGGGAAATGAATATGTGAGACAAAATGAAAACTCCCAGCCTGATTAACCAGACACAACGATTTGGCCAAATTTATTTCTGAGCTAGAATTAGTGAATTGTCAAGTAACTTCAGGTCTGCAAATAATAGAGCATAAAACCCTATGTGCTGTTTCTCTCTCTCCTTCCCCCAAGTCCCCAGGTAAGCAAAGACTTTTTAGACAGGGCAGGACTCTCCCTAACTGAAGAACTATACAAGTCTAGAAAGCGAGATCCTGAGCAAGGTCCCAGGATGTAAAGGGAGCCCTATTGTACAAAACAACACCTTTCCCAGACTCCCAACAAACTCTTCCCTTAAAAAAATGGAATTATAGGTGACTTCTGAACTCCTGCTAGATAATCTTCCTACTGTTAACTTGCTTTGGTTCTGATTTCGTTAATATACTAAACCCGATGCACCTTCTCTAGCACAAGCCCTGATAGTCTTATGAAATGTCAACAAAAATATAGCAAATGGGACAGAATTGATATTACCAACAATAACAGGCTTTGTATGATGAAGTCCACTGTCTGTCTGGCAAGGTAAGTCAACCTACTCTGGCCCCTTGTAACAGGGAAGGAGGAGGAGTTCTGTTGGGAGCTCACATTGAAAGAGGCTTCCATTAACCTGCTTACTACCCAGTGAAAAATGAAACTTTCTCTTAAATTGGTACAGTGAGACAACTACTGCATACCCCGTCCAGAAGCCTTTTAGAAACTGGAAATAACTCTCCTGCCTTTGAGCTCCAGAGGGGAACCAGGCAATGGAGGTGCGCTGTCCCCCTTCCTTTTGTCACAGAAGCTCACATCTGCATAAATTCTCAAGTCACAGGAGTCCAACTGGCAAAGTTTTAACACCAAAACTCTTTGTGTGAATTACCTGTTTCTGTGTTGTCCTAACCCTGACATCTCTGCCTGCAGTATTCAAAATGTTGGCTCCCTTCAATAAATGTTCAGGATTTAAAAACAATTGGGACACAGATATTCCAGGTAGTCTCCCAACAATTGGTTCAATCAAAACTTACCCCACTAAAGAATGTTCTGTCTCTTAAATATCTGGGCATGAATGTGACAATGAGATCGATCCAATTTACAAAATGAATGATCACTTAACACTAGATAAAGTCTGTCAACTGCTAGCCAAGTGGGCACTTCTTCCGATATTCCTTATCTCCAAAGTTAACGTTCATAAAAATGTTCATCTTAGTAATGTGCAC